TAAAAATATACCCATCTCTAAGCTTAACAAAAGAAGCAAAATATGGACTGAAGAGTAAAAAAAATTAGCTTGCAGCCGCTTCCTTTACCAAAAAGATGCCTTAATTACAAGTTAAATCTAAGATAAAGAATGGAATAATTGGAAAACATCTGATATTATGAGCAGTAGAGCTGAGGTCACAGATAGAAAACAAAATCAATTTTAAAAAAGTGATTTAAAAAAAAAAAAAAAAAAAAGCAGAAATTAGAAAGCAGAAAAAAAAAAAAAAAAAAAAAAATAAACAAAAAAAAAAAAAAAATTAAAAAAAGAAAATAAAAAAAAAAAAAAAAAAGAGCAGTTTTTAGAGAGCAGTCAAGAAAATAAAAAATACAAAATTAACAACAGGGATAAGGAACAAAAGAAAGTGTCCTGTCCTGGCCATAGAGTAAAATGTAATTGAGGTGGGAGCCCATTAAAATAGAGATCACCAGAAGGGGAAAAAAACCTTTAAAAAATGAACTTCAGAGTAATGAGTAATTTTTTATGCTGTTATTATACCAACCTAAACTGAGGAACAGTTTTGTTAATAAGGCACAGTGTCATATTTGTTTTACATTAAACAATCATGGTAAGTTGAGGGAAGGGGTGAGTGAACGGTTGGGAGTTAGCAAATATCAAACATATAAAAACACATTGTTTAACTTGAAAGATCTGATATGAACTAACCAAGACGGGTGATCTGGGAAAAAAAGGTTAGGTCCACAATACGGCAGTGTGTAGTATCCCTTAACATAAAGCATAAGCTTTCAGTATTCATAGACTGGAACTCTCAGTACTCATAGAATGAACTGAATCACTTCTGCCTTAATGTTAAAGGATATGTAAGAGATCACACCATGACAGTCATTTATATTTTCTACAAAATTTATTTTAAAAAAAAAATAATCTTTACTTCCAATGTTGAAATGGCCCTGGCTTTCTGGGAGCATATTGACAGAATATCTCATACATTAATTTTTTCTACCAATTAAAATTTGAAAGAAGAATTGCAATTTTAAAAAATAGGTTTAAAATAGAAACAGGTTAGTTTTAAACTTTTGTTAACAATTTCTTGTTTCATTAATTCCAACTCAAGGTCTTATTCTTTCAATGAAGAAGTCTCTTATTTTCAGTACTTTTAGTGTGGGATCAAATTTCCTAGATATAGTGATAATCTTGTTTCATGATTTGTATCAGATACACTACCAAAGTAATCCGGCCTTGCAGTGCCATCAGATGCGCTACCAAAGTAATCCTGCCTTGCAGCGCCATCATTTAGAAATAATAAAATATTTTTTAAATGAAAAAGAAATAAAGAAAAAAAAAAGTAATGTTTTTAAGTTATTTTCTACAAAATTAAGGGGGGAACTCCTTCATATTTAAAAGGCGGGGCGGTGGGGGGGAGGGGGGGGGGAAATGTTCCACATGGTGAATCAAATCCAAAACTGTAATCAAGGAAATTTGAATACTTAAAATGATGTTCTGTCATGGCACAAGCTACCACATATTAAATGATGAATTCTCAACATCTTGTAACTCCGCAATCAATAGAAAATAACAACAAAAAAACAAAAACACTAGCTATTCAGTCAATTCCCCTCAAACTTTACCAAAAAAAAACAACAACGAAGTTCCAAAAAACCAACAGAAATTTACTGAGAGTTTCCCAATTATCATAATGAACAAACCTAGATAGGTACAGAGCTGATAGCAATAGGCTACCCTTGACACAAACCTAGATAGATCCAGAGCTGATAGCAGTAGGCTACCCTTGACAGCTGTGCTAATGGAGTCACAAACAACCTTTGCATTGCAAGTCCAGGTCAGTGATGCTCATTGCATTTGTTTCAAGTTGGCCTCTTCACATGAAAGGGATAACAAAGAACATGGCCAGCTGGTTAGAATCCATAAATTAAATTCAGTAAAACTGTATCATCTTCTTTTCCATTTTTTAAGCACCCATCCCACCAAAAAATATCCCAACAAACTATATTGTAACTGATGAATACACTGATACCGTTGGCTGGGTTTTACTTCAATGAATTAAATTTGAAAAGAAATTAAATTCCATAGGACCAATTTGTGAAGGCTGACCAATCAGAAGTTAACACTACCGCATGGCGGCTATTTGATTCTACATCAAGTTATTTCATCTAATTCGATTTAGGAATATTGTGATCACATTTCGTTGACAGTCGGCAACATCCAGATGTTCATGTAATGCTGAACAGGCCGTTAGATCCGTGGTCAGGTCTGCCTGTAGCTGAGAATTCTACATCCTGGCACACATTAATAGCTTGGTTTCTTTCACAAAACAAATGTTATGTTGCTGGGCCTCATTGAGCAAAGCTCAAATGAATCGGATGTAAAGGGGAACACAAGTGTCAGGCTTGGCGACTCTAAGTAACTGCACCACTAACTGACAGAGACTATATGTAACTGCACCACTAACTGACAGAAACTATATGTAACTGCACCACTAACTGAAAAACTATATGTAACTGCACCACTAACTGACAGAAACTATATGTAACTGCACCACTAACTGACAGAAACTACATGTAACTCCACCACTAACTGACAGAGACTCTATGTAACTGCACCACTAACTGACAGAAACTATATGCAAATGAAACACTAACCAATTCATCCTGTCACCAAAAGGGTAGCTTAAAGGGTACCCTTAAATTCATATTTTTTGGTATCCCAGGCATTGTCTTCTTTATTTCACAGTCACTATATGTTCATATAAAGAATTAATTTTTCTTGTATAAAATGAATAATCTAAAAATATTTCAGATAATAGTCAAAATTTTCCAGTGACTTTGTGGTGCATTTCCACCAAGATGTATTTGTAAAACAATTACCTAAGAATGTAAACAAAAAATGAGCAGCACAGCTATGGATTTTCTTTTACCCAAGTAAGCCTATTAAATTGAAAACACAAGTAGACGATTTCTATTTTGTAAAAGCAGATGGGAAAAACTTCTCGCTTCTCTTTATGAATATCGTAATATGGAAAAAAAAAAGTAATATATTCTTCTTTGAGATCTGCAATGGAAAATTTAAGGTGCCCCAGGTCACTTTTTAAACATACGATAAAAATACATGTTAGCATCTGACCTGCACGTTAACTCATATCTCTCTATAAGTTGCCATTTTTCCCACATGAATAAAAATGTTTCCAGATCACATGAGGGCTGTTTAAAAGAAAAGCTAAGCCAATGGGAAGCATTTTGAGTAATTTCTCAGATTTGCTGTTACAATTCTGAGTGTTCTAATGGAAGTGGGTTATCACAGGTTGCCCTGATTAAGTTTTTTAAAATTTATTTTTTTACCTCGTACCTGCACCTCATTGCTTGGGAGAGAGAATATGTCAATAACCAGACGCATTGCTGTTGTAAAAATAACTCTCCCCCTTGGGTTTCCTTGTAAACAACATGAAATAATTACCCATGTCCTAAATGTAAGCTAAAAAACCCAGAGTGAATGCTACATGCTCAACAAATACATGAGCAGCAAATATTCTGGAAACCTAAGCCACACAGCAATGACAGCAATTGTCAGAGACAAGAAAATAGTTAAATGCTTAATGACACAGCAGAGAGAAAAAAAAAATTCTGATAACCTCATGAAAGACAATTTATAACAGGAAGTGTTCAGACCAAAAAAAAAAATAATTGTTTTTCTTTGGAGAGTAAAATACTTTCCCTCAAAGGGGAAGGAACTGTGTCAATTAATCTGTGTACAGTTTAATAAAAAAAAAATAATAAAAAAAAAAGATTTATCTAATTCATTACAAATAATCGTCACATTTGTAATTTAGTGTTTAATTTATACCAAATCCAAAAAACACAACTCCAACTCGTGTAAAAATTTATGAAACAAAAAATAAGAGCAATAAGTATAATTGTCTTGAGCAACTGCTGCTCTCTCACTCATGGCGCCCGCTTGTCTCTGTACACACATTATTTACACACTAGTCTGTCTCAGCTGGGTCCGGGCATCATGCCGTAAGGCTGTCCGGGGCCACCCATCATACCAGGCATCATCTGTCGAGGGTGGCCCCTTGGTGGACCGGAGGCGTAATAGTCCTGTTGGTAGCCAGGATACTGCATGCTACCATACTGCCCTGGTCCTAAAGGCATTCCTCCCATGCCAGGGGAGGCCATTCTCATTCCACTCATGCCCGGATGTCTCGGCATGCCAACAGGGGTCATACCCGGTCCGTGCATGTGGCCCATGTGTCCATGTGGGGGCATGGGGCCAGACATTGAGCTGTGAGGTGATGGGACTTGCATCGGGCCATGGGGAGATGGCCCTTGCATTGGGCCGTGAGGTGATGGGCCAGGCATAGGTCCGTGTGATTGCATTGACATGGGAGGGCCTTGCATGTGATGGGGAGACGATCCTGGCATTCCACCAGGGGGCATGGGTCCGTGCATCGAGGTTCCTGGCATCGGACCATGGTGCGACATGGGTGAAGGTCCCCCGGAGGACATGGGTCCATGCGGGGAGCCCACAGGCATCTGGTTGTTTCCCTGCATCATCATGGCAGCATGAGCTTGTGCCTGAGCCTGGGCCTGCTCTATGGAAGGTCCATTGTTCATGTAGCCACCCATTCCCGGAATAGGTGAGACACATTCTAAACTACCTGAGCCCATCCCTGGGGGCATCGGTCTCATGGAGCCAGGTGAATGTCCTGGCCTCATACCTCCCATTCCCATCATTGGGTCCGGGCCACCCATCATTGGCCCAACCATATGTCCAGGATTGTCCATAGGGCTCATTCCCATAGAGGAGCCCATGCTGTGGCCCATGCCCATAGATGATGGTGGCATGTTTGGCCCCCCTCCCTGCATGGCTTGGAGATCAGGTATACTCGAACTTCTCATCATGGATGCCGATTGGTGCATGGCAATGGTGGCCTGGTTGGCAAACTCAGGACCCATGGCTGCGGCAGCAGAGAGTGCGCTAGACATGGGGGGCCTGTGACCTGTGGGAGAAGAATTGGGAAAGTACTGTAATGTGGATGATGGATTTTTGCCATCCATGTTCTGCAGTGGTGATGGGAACTGAGGCATGCTATAATCCATATCCGGCCTTTGTTTAGCTCCAGACGGCTGAGACGATGGTGGGTTGGCAGGCAGGTACTGGATGGTGTTATGGCCTTTCTGTTGGATTTGGACACTTGAGTTTGAACTGGAAGTAATGGGGAAAGATGGAGATGTGACACCAGACATTGAAGGTGGGCCAGACCCACTCATCTGTGGATGTGAGAGGGGTGGACTGGTGAACTGACCACTTTTGGACATGGTGGGCGGTGTTGGAGGCATGCTGGATGACGAGCTGGGCCGATGCGGAGGCATAGGTCCACTGGGGTTAATCCCTGCTGAAAGAGGTCCTGAAGATAAGGGAGGACCAGGACCCATGCCCGGACTGGGCCCACCCGGCATGGGGCCCATGGAGGTCATCATGCCCTGAGACTGGGCCATATGGTGAGTCATGCCGGGTCTGGGCCCCGAACCCATCATGTTGGGGCCCATTCCATGCTGCATGCTGCAAGGGGGCATGTTCAAGTGAGATGGCTCTGTGTTCATGCTCTGCATCTGCATGTTGACATAACTGTTCATCGATGGATGGTTGGGGACATTGACCTGTGAAATGGACATGTTCGTGGCAATGTACGTGTTGTTGACACTCGGCGCAGTTGATGACTGACATGTGACGGGGGGTCCGGGATGAGACGAGGATGACGAAGATGTTGTTGCAGTGGCAGATGACGACGATGATCCGCCATTGGAGCCGGGGCCGTTGCTGGAGTTGTTTGCGCCGACTGTGTTGCTGCTGGTCATTTGACCTTGAACCTGTATACTATGGAAAGGTCCACCCTGCATCATGTTCTGCTGCATCTGATTGGACAAGTTCTCTACCCCTTTGGCTAGATTGGCCAGGCTGGCGGAGGTGATGTTTGACATCGATGACGAAGATTTGGGATTTGGGGTGTGAGGGGCACTGCCGACCCCATTGCTGAGCGGCGTCGGGTCAAAGTGGGACAGTCTCATGGTGGCCCCAGGGTTTGACGTGGAGGATGAATGGGGTGTTGCCGGGCCTTGGTGGGGTGAAGGTCCTGCCGTGGACACGGCGGGGGAGTTGGCCATGTGCAGTGACGTTTGGCTGGAGTTGGAGTGAGGTCCCTTGTTGGAACCAGGTCCATGAAGCGGAGAGTGTGTGTGACTGTTGAAATGTCCCCCTGAAGGGTTAGTCCCAATAGGACCGCCACCTAAACCGGGACCTGTGCTATTTGATTCATCGCCCCCGTTTCCAGCAACAAATGCAGAGTTGAGCTGTTTGGTGATAGTCAGCTCCTGGCCCTCGAATTGGCTTAAGTTGTATTGAATCTTGGTGGGTGACGGCGTCTGCTGGAGGTTTCCCTTGGTGTAAGAGTCGTCCATATCATCACCACGTTTCCGTTTCTGAGCCTGTGCATAGCTGGGCGGCGGTTTGCTGCTGTTGTTAGTTCCTGATGTAGCTGTCACAGGAGGGACAACTCCTCCCATTGTTTCTGGATTAAACTGTTCAGGGGCTCCGGCCCTGTGTAAAGTCACTTGGTTGGGACCCTTCATGCCAGGCATCATTCCATTGGGTCCCATCATGAGGGATTGCCGCATGGGGCCGTGTCGGGGGCCGCTGGGGCCGGGCGGGCCTGGCCCCATGACAGGAGGCATGCCACCAGCCATTGTGGGATCAAATCCTGGATCCATGGGGCCCTGTGATGGCATACCGTGCGGTGGGTACCCGTGCATCCCAGGTGGCATGGGCTCCATTCCCATGTGAGGTGGACGACACATGTCAGGGGGGCCTCCGTACATCCCCATGCTGTCTGGGTCCATTCCTGGTGTCATGGGGCCGTGAGGTCCATGGGGAGGCATGGACATTCTCATTCCATTCATGTTGGGAGACGTTGGACCCATCCCACCATGCTTCTGTGATATGGATGAGTAATACGATGGGGGCGGTCCTGGCTCCATGTGAGAACCCCTGTTTGCTGCCATATGTTGGATTCTGTGTTGCTTCTCCATATAATACTCTCGCTGTATTTGAAACCAATCTTGCTGAGCTTGATACTGGGAAGAAAAGATGAATAAATAATTACATATGTTAAAGCTTTGTTGGTTTGAATACAATTAATAAAAAGGTAAACAAATAAAAAAAAACAAAAAAAACAATATGGTTCTTAGAATTCTCAAAGGCTTTAGTTCAAGTCTCAACAATTTCAATTGTTCCTCGTGGTTGGAATGAGAAACCTTGATATCTTTTATAGCTTATCTTTCCAGTCTAAAATACAGGCCACACAGTAATTATTTTTTCAAAAGCTGAATAATAGTAATACAGACTTGTTTACCCTCAAACTCTTAAAATCGTACAATATCATCATAAAATCGTTCAATACCTTATATTTATAGTAAAAAATAAACATAAAGTATATATCTTGTACACACTTCAAAATTGTACATTGTACGCCAAAATCGTAAGAGTAAACAGGTCTGGTAATATTATTTCTCATCACTTTCAAACAACTATTCCAGACCCACTGGGTAACTTGAATTGCTATTTCAAGCTACTGATTGGTGCAAAAACAAAATAAATCTAAGGATCTTATTAAAAATCACCTTGATAAGCTTCTTTGATTTTGGGGGAAGAATAAAATAAGCCGTTAATTCTACTTGCGCATATTCAAAATAAACACTTTCATTGGCTACCAACAATCCTATTCAAGAATCGTTAATTTAAAAATAAATAATTGCTAAAGCAAAATCTAAGCCCACCTGCTCCTTCCCATTCATGCCATGGGGACCCATTCCAGGAGGACCCCTGGGACCATAAGGGGACATCCCCTGCTGAGCCATCATGTGCTGGTGTTGCGGTGACATCATGCCATGCGGGTGCATCATGCCACCTTGTGACATCATGGCCTGCTGTTGGGACATCATGGCCTGCTGTTGCGATGACATCATACCGGGGCCGTGATACATTCCGGGGCCACCGGGATGCCCCATTCCAGGCCCACCCGGGTGGCCGTCGGGGCCCATCGGCTGCTGACTTCCATCATGCTGACCGTTGACCCCCATCAACATCTGGTGAATCTTGGTGAGCTGTGCCAGGCCTTTGTTCCTGTGCTGTCTTTGTTCCAGCGTTAAGTTCTCGTCCGGCACCTGGCTGGACGATATGTTGGGGTTGAGATGCCCCCCCATCATCATCTCATTCTCCATGTCCATCATGCTCCCCGGCCCATAGCCCCCTGGGCCCATTGGACCATGGCTGTGTGGGTGGGGTCCGCCACAGCCCTGACCTGGCCACCCACCCATCATTCTGGGACCCGGGCCCCCAGGTTGATAAGGTCCATTAGGCATCATGCCACCGGGGCCCATCATGTTCGGGTCTTCCATCCCTGGTCCAGGAGGCATCTGCGGGCCCCAACTTGGTGCCATTGGACCATGCATGCGCATCATTCCGGGCCCAGGTTGACCTTTCATTAACCCCATCATGTTAGGTGGCATGCCGTGCCGAAAGCTGTTGGCCTTCAGGGGATTTTTCTGAAAACAACAAAATTGCCAATATCAGAATTATGTATTATGGTGTACGCTATATTGTTCCATATTAATAACAGTTGGTAATGTCAAGCTTATTCACAGGATAACCAAAGAGTCTGCAGAGCTCTGAGGATATCATTATCTTAAAGCTTTTTATTACTTTTTATTACAGCTTTTTACAACTTCAAAAAAAAAAAGGAAAAAAAAAAAAAAGAATTGTTTTAATGTTAGGTGGTTGAGAATAAACGATCTTTATAAGCAGGAAAGCTGATTGCAACATGACAACTTTGATTAATGATTATTTAAGTAGTTTGCTAACACCAACTTTGATTAGTTATCAAACTACTAAATTAGTAATGAATTACAATAACAGAATTAAAAAGGATACAAAATTTTAAGGTCCTAGGAAGATTGAAATAAAGACATCATAATGGTGGCTTACATTTTCTATTTTATAAATTTTAAGTGATGTGCCACCAAAAAAACCCAAAGAGCTCTATAAAACAACACTGTACAACTAGTTGACAATAACTTCTATTACCTGTAAAAATGCCTTTGTATTTGGTTGCTCCATGTGAAACTGGACAATGCTTTTGAAATGGCCATGCCTGACACTCTCTGCTGCCTGATTGGCCAAGCTGGTGGAGAACACAAAAATCTCACTCTGCTGCTGCATGAAGGGCGGCTCAAGGGAGGAAACCATTCCATGCTGAGAAGACATCATAGTAGCCGGGGTTGTTCCCCCTGAAGATGGATGCTGGGGTGTGGTGGGTTGCGGTGATGCCTTCTGACTGTCTGTCCCCACTGAGCCAGGCTTCCCATTCTCTTTCTTGCTGTCTGCAAGCAAAAAATATCACAAGAATAGTAGATTGATAAGACAAAAACAAAGGTGGGGTTTAATTATGTGAAGACAAAAAAAAAAAAAAAAAAAAAAAAAGGGGGGGTTAAATAATAGAAAAAAAAAAAAAAAAAAAAAAAGAACACTACCTGGATGAAATATTATATAAACCAGGATTTTAATTACCACATTCTTATTTTTTATATATTTTAATTTTGGTACAAGAGTTGAAAAAATAATTAAGTAGTAATTAAAAGAAAACTGTAAAATTGTATTGAAACAGGACAAAATTTTTACATTTATTATATTAAAATAAAAAGAAATTAAAAGAATTTTGCAATACCTAAAAATAATTATTAAAAAAAAAAAAAAAAAAAAAAAAATCTAAAATAACTAAAAAGAAAAAATAAAAAAAAAAAATAAAAAATAAAAGAAAAATATAAAAATGTATTGAAACAAGAAAAAATTTTTACATTTATTATATTAAAAAAAAAAAAAAATAAAAGAATTTTGCAATACCTAAAAAAAATTATTAAAAAAAAAAAAAAAAAAGAAAGAAAATCTTAAATTGCTAAGTAGATCTCATTGGAAAATAAAATTTAAAATATAATACTATTTGAAATAAGATTTTCTTAAAGCAGGGAAATATTAAAACTGATGTCTCATTTTTCTTCATCTGATGAATAACCCCAGTGGCTCTGTTTGCCATTAGATCGGCTTGCATTCTCAAGTAGCTGGCAACAAACATGTCCTCACATATCTTTACAATTACCTATAGCAGCAGTTCTTAAACTTTAATAACCTGAGGCCCCCTAATTGTTTTGTGTTGACCCTAATTCTTATAACTATTAGGGATATAATTGTGTTTAAGAACTGCTAAAATCCCAAGTCAAAATGTCCCAGTAGCTAAACCAAAGCTATTACACAGATCAGATATACCATTGCATTTTAAGGGGGTTACATCAGTCAAATAAGAAGAAGTTTATCTGTAAGGGGTTACATCAGTCAGATAAGAAAGAAGAAAGTTGACTTGTAGGGGTTGCATCAGTCAGATAAAAAGAAGCAAGGGGTAAGTAATATCAACAGCAAACTTGTTAAAGAGTTACTTTTTAAAAAAAAAATGTATATTGAATGTTTTAATAAATAATAGCTATAACATCTCATTAAATATTACGCTACGAGATGTTCTCACTTTTATTGGCCCACCCTGTATATAAAAGATTTCACTATTCCCCCCCCCCCCCCCCCC